TTTGAAAAATAAGATTTTTTTTCCAAAATTCTCCCCACCCGTTATTATTCTGTTCAGCGTTTATGGCCGCTGACCTTGTAGGAAGAGCCCAGTATGCGGACCACTCATTGGCGATAAGAAGCAGAGGGGGTGTGGAAAATAAGCAATTAAGATTGCCACTTGCTTCCGTGTGCGTCAGTGCAGCAGTGTGGACTGTGCTGTGTTGACATGCCACCTGTTCGTTCCAAGTTAGGTTCCAAAACTTTACGCAGTCAGAGCCGAGAAATTGTCACGAACGTCTGCAATTTTATGAAAAGAGAGGCAAGAAGTAAAGATAAAGTGACTTCGCCAGTTTACTTTAAAGAAATACAAACAGTGCAGAAAAGAGTGTCAGAAGCTATTGGAGTGTCTGAAAGGACAATTAGAAGGATTCTGAAAGAACTAGAAGAACACGAGGAACAAGGCACTTCATTTGGAACGCCTGGCAAGAAGCACGACGTCCCTAAGCGAATAACTGAAATAGACGACTTTGATAAATGTGTTGTCCGGCGCACCATCCATAATTTCTATGCACATGAGGGAACTGTTCCAACACTTCCCAAAGTAGTTGTAAAGCTCAAAGAGAGCATTGATTTTAATGGAAGTTGTTCAAGCCTCAGAATAATTGTTAGGGACCTCGGTTTTAGGTGGAAGAAGACCAGGGCAAACAGAAGGGTGCTCATTGAAAGGCACGATATACGGTCTATGCGCTTATCGTACCTGATTGCACTAAGAAAGTACAAAGCCGATGGACATCCAATCATATTTGAAGACGAGACTTACATTCATGGCAGCCATACCAGATCGAAGAATTGGACTGACGATAGTGATTCTGGTTTGTTGGCGCCAACATCAAAAGGCGTCATCGTTCATGCTGGAGGAACAGCGGGCTTTATTTCAAATGCACTTCTCATATATAAATCTAGGCAGAAAACTGGAGATTATCAAATGAAATGGACAGTAAAAATTATGCCCGCTGGTTAAGAACAATGCTAATACCAAATTTACCACCAAACTCCGTTCTGGTCATTGACAACGCCTGGTATAACAACACTCGGACAGACAAACCACCGACGTCTTAATCAAAGGACGAAATAAAAGCCTGGCTATTGGAAATAAACATCCCATTTTGTGACAACGTGTTGAAAGCTCGACTGTACGATTTAATCAAATTAAATAAGCCAAAGCACAAATATTATGTGATTGATCAGATTTTAGCAGACAAAGAACGTCCTGTGCTGAGACTTCCGCCGTACAATCCCGATTTAAACCCCAATGAACTTATTTGGGCAGACGTAAAACAATGGGTTGCAAGCAAGAACACAATATTTAAAATTAAGGTCGTCGAGCATCTGTGTCGCCAGAGGTTCGAAGAAATTGGGCAAGAGGAATGTGGAAAAACTATAACAGATTTATTATGAGCAAGAAGGCATAATCGAAGACGCTATTGAACGCATTACAATTGAAGATAATGGAGTGACCAGCAGCAGCGGTAGTGATGAATCGAGTGATGTCAGAAAGCGATGGTCTGTGAGGAGTGGAAGATTTGGAAGAGGACCGAAGAGTTGGGAAGAAGATAAAATCATCTAATACTCTCTGCAGTGTTAATTTTCTAGTGAAATCGACTTTCCTGTGTTACATACCGTGGTGATATTTTATTTGGAGTGTACTGTACGCGGCCTGCTGCTATCTCTTCCAGCAAACTTCTGGTGAGTGACTCGCTCCGAGGTTCCAATTCACACAGTTCAGAGGCCAAAAACGCTGGAACCAAGTATACCTGCCAGAACCGGTGTCTGCCGGACAAGATCTCTGACGAACCTGGTCTCTGCAAGATCCGGTCTCTGAAGGGCAGTAATTGCAGACCTAACCCATCCCTATCAGAACTAGTCTCTACCAGACTGTCTACTTCACTCAGTCTCAGCTGGAATCCGTCTGTGCCTCAACCGTTTTCTGCTCTAAACGGTCTGATTCACCCGGTCTCTGCTTGCAATTTTCTTTGACTCACCAGGTCTTTGCTTGAATCTGTCTGAGCCTCACCCTGTCTCTGTCGAACCATATCTTTGAACAGACGGCCTGGCAGATATCGGGTGATACAGAGACCGGTTCTTGCAGGGATCGTGTGGGGAGAATTTTGAATTGAATTATCAATTTTTTCAAAACCTCAAAAAATATAGGAAAATGTCCAAAAAGCGCACAAACCTCTTTTTTTGTGTGTGTGTGTGTGTGAAAATATCTCTACCGGACTCGGTCTCTGCAAGATCCGGTCTCTTTGCAAAGACTGCGTCCGGCAGAGAGCGGGTGATGCAGAGACCGACTCTTGCAGTCTGTGTGCGGCATAGTCCGGGTCTACCAGAGACCGGATGTAGGACAGAGCCTTGCAGAGACGTATTCTGGTGATGATCGGATTTTCAATATTTTCGGAAAATAAAAAATGATGGAAATTGTTTAACAAGGGAATGGTTAGGTTGGTAATGCCGAAACCTCACCTGAAATTTTGCTCATCTACAGAGCCCATCTAGTAATGATTGTACACAAAATTTTAGCTGCTGATGCGCTCTGCAAGGGTGCGAAAAAATTGTTCAAAGTTTGTATGTATATTTAAAATTCGCTCCGCCGCGCATGCGCGTGACAGCAGCGCGCCATTCACCGGTACATTGCAACGGAGGGCGTGGACCAGGCGCTGAGAGGGCAGTGAAAGATTAGTCTCCGCGGAGCTAGAAGCTTAACATACATACACGCGCGCGCGTAGTTTATAGAATAAGTAAGTACACAGGAACCATCTATATGTACGTATATGTATTAAGTTGGACAGGTTCGTGCACTTTAGCTTCAATAATTTTCAGGGAAACGTTTACAGTTACATATTTTGTTGTTTTGAATTATTGACTGATGAATGTCTTCTGTCTGGAGGATTAGCCTATGGTTCAGTGGGTAAGAGACATGAACCTATCGTTGAAGTTGATGTCTGCTCGTCATCGCTTGATTACCGACTGACTGGTACATCGCTATCAGGTGGCTGATCAGGTTGTTCATTACCTTCGTATTCATTGTCTAAAATGTCCAGAGCGTCAGTGGTTTCGATGAAATTATCTGGACAGAAATCTTGATTGTCCAAAATCTGCACAAGAAGGTCACACATCTGCTGGTCTTCAAACGTGTTGTGTGGCCTAGCTGTAATACTGCGTCCTTCATAGACCTGCATTGCAAGTCGCAAAACGTTGACAGCGTTCCACATTGCAGTTCAAGATCTGGTAATCAAAGTGTCACTAAATCACCTCCTCTACTACGCGCAAACAACAATAGTTAAGCTTCTAGCTCCGCGGAGACTAATCTTTCACTGCCCTCTCAGCGCCTGGTCCACGCCCTCCGTTGCAATGTACCGGTGAATACCGCGCTGCTGTCACGCGCATGCGCAGCGGAGCGAATTTTAAATATACATACCAACTTTGAGCAATTTTTTCGCACCCTTGCAGCTAAAATTTTGTGTACAATCATTACTAGATGGGCTCTGTAGATGAGCAAAATTTCAGATGAGGTTTCGGCATGACCAACCTAACCATTCCCTTGTAAGAAGCGCACAAAACCAAAAATTTTCGACACTTTGAAAAATATTCAAGTTTAAAATTCTCAATTTTTTTTAGTTTTGTGCGCTTTTTAGACAATTTCCAGCATTTTTTGAAAATTTTGTAAAATTTGAAAATTTATTTCAAAATTCTCCCCACCCGTTACCTGCCAGAACCGCTGTCTGCAGGACACGGTCTCTGATGCACCGTCTCTGACTTACCCGGTCTCTGCACGATCCGGTCTGTGTATGACCCCGGTCTCTGAAGGGCCGTCTTTGCAGATGCGGGTGTTGCAGAGACAAGAGTCTTGCATTTTGAAAATTTTACAAAATTTTCGAAAAATCAAAAAATTCTGGAAATTGTCTAAAAAGCGAACAAATTTTTGATTTTTCGAAATTTTTTAAAATTATTTCAAAATTCTCCCAACCCGGTATGTGCTGGACTATGTCTGGACCCAGTCTCTGCCAGGCCAAATGCGAGGTGGAACGACGTTGAAAATACGAATTTAATTTTTTTTTAAAATTCTCCGCACACGTTCTCTTCCGAGACCCGTCTCTGCCGGATCCGGTCTCTGCCAGTCACGGTGCGAAGTGGAACGACTCAAAATTCGATAATTTTTAAAAATCTTCAAAAAGTTTATAAATGTCAAAAAAACTAAGTAAATAAAAAAAATTCATAAAAAACTAAAAAACAGTCTTGTCCCATTCCATAGCCAAGTCTATCCCAGCCCAGAACCTAGCCTAGCCCACAGTGCACCCCAGCCTACAGTAGTACCCTGCGCACATCCAAGCCCAGC